CCCCCCCCCCCCCCGCAATCTCTGAGCTCCTCAGGGTTTAGCTAGATCTACCCACCGTTCCCTCTGTAGAGCTTACATGGAGCCAGGCCCACTCCCCAAAAGCACTGGTTAAGCTGGGGGAAAATGGGGGGACAGGGGCTGAGGCCCCCAAGGTACCCTCCAGGGACGTACCTGGCGGGGGTGCTGTATCGATCCACCAGGGCTGCTGCCTTCTCCCCACTCACTCCACCCACCTGCATCAGCTGCCGGGCAAATACCTCTCGCACAGACTGGGCCTGGGGTTGGGGGAGGCATGTGTCAGGGTGGTCTAGGACTGGGCTACCCAAAGGGTCTTGGGGCCAGGCTACCTGAGGAGTCTGGGCAGAGGTAGTACCTTGTTCTTCATGGCTCCAGAGTTGAAGTCACTGAAGGTGAGCAGTGAGCAGAGAGGGTTTGGGGAGGGCCTGGTTTCTGATTCAGGGTCCCCTGGTGTCCCCCAGGGGCGGCTGTGTAGGGTGTGGCCCTGAGGAAAGATGGGACCCGCGGTGTCCTTTCTCAGCCTTAGGGCTCATTGGACAGACCAAACAGTGGGGGTCTCACCCACCTGACCTCCCTTGGGGAAGCAAGGACCCAGGTAAGGAACAATGCCAGACAGGTAGATCTGCTCACCTGGTAAAGTCTCTCCAGGCCCCGTGTCAGAAGGGCTAAGTAGGCAGCAGACTCCTTAATGTCTGCTGTGCGCTTCACAAAGAAGCCATCTATGACCTGGGGAGGAGAACCAAAGGCAAGAGCTGGCTCCTGGCCTGAATCACAGCTCCTGGGCCCTGCCAATCTGGCCCCGCCTTCTGATCTCACCTGGGTGTTGGTGACAGCCTGTAGCAGTGTGCTCTCGGGGAGGCTAAGGTTGTGGATTGAGCCATGTTCTTCCACCAGGTACACCTGGCGCCCCAGACCACAGCGCTTCAGCCGGAACTGGGGAAGCAGAGAGGCAGGGTCAGGCCTGGGTGCCCAGGTGCCCCACTCAAAGTCACACTGTGATCCCACCAGTTAGCCTCCTCTCCCTTGCTGGCCTATCTACCTATTTCAGGTGGCTCCATATCCTCATGCTATGACCCTTATGGGAAAGCCCTTCACCACCTCTTGAGTGTGGCCCATCCCTCAGGCCTCCCTTGGTCTGATCATAGCCTCGACTGTGAGATCAGCCCAGCAGCTGGGACTGGGGCAAAACCTCTGCATTACATTTGGGCCTTGTGAGTCCAAGACCCCAGTGGATGGGTAACGGAGGGGTCTTTAGGAAGCTCCTCTGCCCACTCAGATACATGTGTCCCTTCTATGCTCTAGGATTGCCCGAGGGGCTGAACTGGGGCTGCCTACAGCAGTTCTAAGGGAGGTGCAGCTGGAGACACTGGGGGCTCTGCCTGAGGGGGCCACCCCACAGTGCCTTGGCTTCTGGAGGACTGAGGAGGTAGCCCTGGCAGGAAGCAGGCTGAGGCAGACCACTGAAGGGACCTTCTGTTCCCGGAAGCGGCCGTCGATGATGCTGCTACATAGGTCATCCAACCGCTTGCGCTCCACAATGTGGTCCAGTACTAACTCTGCAGGTCTTGCTGCCAAGAAGCCAAGAAGGATCCCAGTGTCTTGTGTGTCCTCACCCACTAGGCCTTGCCTCTAACGCTTGCCCATCCACGTCCCTTTACCTGGGTCTCTGGGCCTGGTCTCCTGTGCAACCCACACAAAGTCCCCAATGTGTAGCTTGCGCACCACGTGGTTCACATGTAGCCGCTGTAGCTCTCGGAGCATCTCTGGCCTGTGTCCTGCCCTGAAATTGCAGGGAGGGGGCCAAGGTCAGGGTGGGCCAGGACCCCCACCTTAAGGATCCTCTGGTTTATCTTCATAGCTTTCCTCCTTCACTTACCCCCTGGTCTCTCCAATGTCTACACACAACAGCACCCTGTACTCTGCAGGCCCCAGCTCCAGAGGTGGCTGCTGGACACCCCCTTCACTGGCGCCACTGTGGGTGGAGAATGCTGTGTATGAGGCCAGAACCCCCAGTGCTGGGCATCCACCCTCCCCCATCTCTCTCCTTTTTCCTCACAGCTCAGCCAAGGCTGCTCCTGGCAGTGCTGGCTCCTCGGGCCCAGTGCCCACATTCAGCAAGCTCAGACCTTCTGACTCAGCCAACTTCTGGGCCAGCTCCAGGCCCTCTGGAGTCAGTGAGTACCTGGGAGGTGGAGGAAATAAACACAGCTCTCCCTTCTTCACTCATACCTGCTGCCCCCAGCTAGGCAGGCCTCAATCCCCCTTGGCAACACTGTACAAACAAGTCTCCTCCACCGCCTTGTCTTCCTGCCCATCAGATCAGTTTCCTTGTGACCAGCCTAGTATCATTTCTCAGGTCTGCAATGCATATTTCTCAGACAAAGTACTTCCTTTTATCTTTACTCATGCTGTTCCCTCCTCCCTGGAATACCCTTCCTATACTTCTACCAGCCAAATTTTAAGACATGCCAAATGCTGTCTCCTTGGCAAAGGCTTTTTGCTCTACTAAAGGTGACACCCCTCCATTTCTCACGTCCCCCTGGTGCTCCAACAGGAGTGTCTGCTGTGAGGGGTGGGGAGCAGCCTTCGCCAACCTCAGCAGCATCAGATCTGGAAATTGCTGGCTGACTGCAGTGGCCCACTAAGAATGTCACGCAGGCTACCCCATCCCTGGCTCCTGTGACCCCTGCAGTTGGCTCCTACCTGGCTGGCTGGTGTGTCCTGAGGACCAGGTTCCTGTGCAGGAGAGAACGAAGGGCTGGCCAGGGTCGAGAACTCCTAGGGGCTATCTGTGTATAGGAGGAAACTCTCAGGGTCCAAGTTCCCTGTAGCCCAGGCACAGGGGTCAGACCCGACTAGGCCCATCACCACTTCTCACTGCCACAAAGGCACTTTGGTGGGCTCCACCTATCTGCCCCATTTCAGTGCTCACCCTGGGGTCCTTCTTGGCACACCTCTGTAGCAGCTCCTCCTTGGTTAGGAAGCTGTGACCATCAGAATCCTGAAACCGCGGTACAAATGATAGGGTAGGTTCAGTGCTAGAACCCCTAACCCTTCCCAAGTGGCTGGGTTGATTTCTTTCTGCCTTGCTGTGGCTGGGCATTCTCACCCCACTGCTTCTCCCGAGTATCCCTAGTATTGCCAGGCACTAACCAGGTGCTGCCAGTAGAGCTGCAGCAGGACCACTCGGGCTCCTGAGTTTCGAGCCGGCCAATAGCCACTAGAGCCTCCTGTTTGGGGCTGGGCAGAAACCTGAAAGGGACAGAGGGATTCTGAAACAAATGCTGCCAGTGTCAGCTCAGTTCCTGTAAGGACTAAGGTTTCAGCAAGGTGCATGTCCTGGGAAAGTTCCGCAGTTGTCCACTTTCTATAAAATGAGCCAGATGATGGGATGACTCCCTGAAAATCCAGAATGAGACAGTGGACACCTGCAGGGCAGGGACAGGATGGGGTTATCTGTAGATCCAACCTCAGTCTGCTGCCCACTACAGGATGATTACTGAGTAACAGCAGTCCACCACTAACTGGCCTGGGCCCTTAAGTAGCTTAATCATGGTACTCCCTCTACAGGTGTCACCCATATTCCCATTTACAGAATTAAAACCCTGTCTCAGAGAGGATAAGTCATATGTCCTAGACCAGGAATCACTATGAAGACCTGGACCCACACCCACTAAATCCTTCAAACCAAGAAATCCTAATCCCAGTACTCCCATTTCGCTTTCCACTCCCTCTTCCACTTGCCCCTCCTCACTGGCATGGGAGAGTCCTGGGCTGGGCTCTTCTCTCCAGATGGTGAGCCAGGGGCATGATCACCTGTGGGAGCAGAAGAACGTCAACTCAGTACCACAGTATCTGGCATCTAGGATGTGGATTGCTCACGTTGTATGTGAACTGCGAGGCTCACAGAGCGCCAACCATCAGCCCCAGATCAAGCAGGAACAGGATCAAAGTTGGGAGCATAAAGCCAAGAGTATCTAAGGTGAATATGGAGTCTGTGCCTGGAGGAGACGGGATCACCCTGGCCAACGCGCTCACCACTTGAGGCTCTGTGCTGTTGTAGTCGTTCATCCAGCATTCGGCAGAGCCCGTCTCCAAAGTGCTGGAGGATCTTAGCTTCTTTCCCGCTGTGCAGGGGCAGCGGATACCGTCGGAGGGAGCGCAGTGCCTAATAGGGGTAGGATGTTCGGTCAGGGCGGGTCAGGTCGTCTGGCTTGGACAACATCTGACCCTAGCCAACCCAGCCTGGACCCACCCACCTTCTGAAACACGAAACGCGTGCGGCGCCCCCTGCTGGCTGCCTCGTCCCTCCACTCGATCAGCCAGCGCACAAAGAGCGGATTGGGACAAACAGGCAGCGGGCGTTTCCGGCCCAGGCGGACCTGCGCCTCCATGAATCCCAGGGCGGATCCGCTGGCACCTCACGCCCGCGAGACAGGGACACCGCCAGTTCTGGGGTCGGGAAAGGAACACCTCGTTCGGGGAGAGATGAGGGAAGCACCTTCCCAGTCACGTGCCTCCAGAGGGCACTCGACTAGAGGCCCCTGCACTACTCTGACGGGTAGGAGCCTAGTCTCTGTAACCCTTGCTTAGGCTGTGCCAGAGGCGGATCAGCCTCTTAGACCCGGGCCGGAGCATTGACCTGCCCCTTCCTCCCACACCAGATTCGAAAGAGGACGCATCCATCTCTGTGGCAGGCGATAGGAAAGCGGACAGCGCCTCCTGCGACTGGGAGGGCTGCCGGGGGCGGCCCTTAACAGAAAGCCTGAAAGTGGCAATTCCAGTGTCTGTAAGACTGTCAGTTCCTGCCTCATTCTTACAGAGGAAGCTAGAGAGAGATGGTTTGAGAAGAGTCGGGTGGGGAAAGTATGGGGAGGAGATGAGAAATAAATGCAAGTATCTTTGTGGGAGGGACATACAAGAAGGGCTGATGGGGATGAGGACACAAAGATAAGACTGGAGAAGGTGAAGGATCTCTGAGGACATGGTGATTCCCATCTGCAGCATTCGGGGAGGGGAAGAGAAACAGAGAAGGGGGCAATCTGGGGGCTTAAAGTGGGGATGTGCACAGAAAGGCCAAGCTAGAAGGACTAGGTGGAAGGGTAGCGGATGCGTAGGAAACCTTGTAAGAGGTGCAGGGCAACCTGGCAAGTGGGGAGGTCTGATAGGCATGTGGCAGGATCCCAGGGAGCCGGCTGGTAGTAGACATGAAAACTGTGGCAAATTGGAAGTGGGGGGGTCCCTCAGGGAGCTTCATCCCTGCAAAGGGATCCCAAGTAGAGGGGCACTGGAGTTGGAGGATCTACCACCCTATTCCCCTCCAGCCTCTAGCTGTTAATACCGGAAGTCGCGAGGTGCAGCTCTCTAGCCTTGGAGGAGCGAGCCGGCTCCGGAGCTCCGTGCCCGCCCCTTCATACTAAACGTAGACTACAACCCCTCATCCTGAGCCGTCTCTGAGTTCCCGCCTCCCTCCCGACGCGGCCTTATAAGGAGCCTGAAGCCGGTGTTCGGGCTGGCCCCGCCCCTTCCAGTCTCATGTCCTAATAAGGACATCTAGGGCATCCTGCGGGCGGGGGCGGGTACAGCGCGTCACCAAGGTAACTGTAAAGCCCCCCCCCCCCCCCCCCCCCCCCCCCCCCCCCCCCCCCCCCC